TTGCACTATTAAGCAAGCGAAGAGTGATAATGCATTAGAATTCACCTCAGGTCGCATGTTAAGTTTCTTTCATACAAATGGCATTTTACATCAAACCTCTTGTGTTTATTCTCCTCAACAAAATGGGGTTGTTGAGTGTAAAAACCGCCACCTATTGCAGGTTGCAAGAGCTTTACGCTTCCAAGCTCAATTACCCATTAAATTTTGGGGGGAACGTGTGTTAATAGCAGCTTACCTTATTAATTATACTTTGACACCAAAGCTTTCATGTAAAACACCATATGAACTTTTATTTTCCAAACCACCATCTTATGAGCATTTGAGAGTTTTTGGTTGTCTTTGCTACGTGCATAATCATGGCCTACCTAAAGACAAGTTTGCTCCTCACTCTATCCCTTGTATATTTGTTGGCTATCTTGCAGGATAGAAGGGATATAGGGTGTATGACCTTGAAACCAATAAAATTTTTACTTCTAGGGATGTAGTGTTCTATGAAAATCAATTTCCTTTCCACCTTCACATTCAAAAGCTTCCAAATACATCCTGTAGTGACATTCCATTACCCATAACTAGTGATGATGCATCTACTTTAGACACCAACCCCTTACCATCACTTGCATCAGTAGAACTTGATAGCCAACAAGTTAGTCTTGAACAAGAAGTTGGTCTTGAGTCACCTCTTTTAAATCCCACCATCACTAATAATAGTGATTCCCCTATTTGTTCTACTCAAGGTACCATGCTTTCGGTTCTACTTCCTGATATTGTCCCCGAGGGGGTCGTTAGATCTCAAAGACAAAGGTAACCGCCTAAGTACCTTCCTGATTATGAATATTCAATTCCTTGTGTATCATCTTCATCTACATCTGCCTCCAATTCAGTTTCTTCAGGTGAGCCTTATAAATTGTCTAGTTGTTTGTCTTATTCTAAATTTGTTCCTAAATAGAAAGCGTTTCTCACTTCCATCTCTAGTTATGATGAGCCCAGGTCTTATGTGCAGGCGAAGAAAGATCCAAAATGGTGTGATGCTATGGCGCAAGAAATTGCACCATTGGAACAAAATAAACTTGGACTTTGGAGATTCTCCCACCTGAAAAACAAGCTGTTCGATCCAAATGGGGGTGCAAGATCAAGTACAGGGCAGATGGATCTATTGAAAGGTATAAAGCTCGCTTAGTGGCAAAGGGGTATACACAAATAGAGGGGTTGGGTTTCAATGAAACTTTTGCTCCTGTTGCAAAATTGACCACTGTACAATGCTTATTAGTCATTGCCACAGCCAAGAATTGGGAACTTCATCAATTGGATGTTCATAAGGCATTTCTTCATGGTGACCTTCATGAGGAAGTGTACTTGATTCCCCCTCCTAGCTATTTATCTAAAGGAGATATTCGAGTATGCTAGTTACGCAAGTCCCTCATTGGTTTAAAGCAACCTTCTCGCCAATGGTTTGAAAAATTCTCTACTTCTTTGATCAACTATGGTTTCACACAGTCTAGGGCTGATTACTCTTTATTCAACAAGTATTCCGGTGCTTCATTCATTGTTATGCTTGTTTATGTTGATGACTTAGTTATTGCAAGCAATGATTCTTCTCAATGTCAAACACTAAAAGCTTACCTACAAGGTTGCTTTCATATTAAAGATCTTGGCCCCCTAAAATATTTTCTTGGGTTGGATATAGCATGTTCTCCTTCTGGGTTGTTTATTTGCCAACGTAAGTACACATTAGATATACTTAAAGAGGCTGGCATGCTCGGTTGCAAACCTTCTACATTTCCTATGCAACAGCAACACAAGTTGTTATGTGATACAAGCCCACTTCTTAGTGATTCTGGTATGTATTGTTGTTTAGTTAAAAGGCTCATATATCTTACCATCACAAGGCCTGAGATTTCTTATGCAATGCATGTCTTAAGTTAGTGTATACATCAACCCCGTGAATCCTACCTCTCTACTGCAATGAAAGTACTTAAATACTTGAAGTCTTCTCCTAGACAAGGATTGTTTTTCCCACCCTCTAATGATTTTCAACTTATTGCCTATTGTGACTCTGATGAGGTTATTTGCCCACTAACCAGGCACTCTACTACAAGCTTCTTTATCATGTTAAGAACAGATTCTATCTCATGGAAGACAAAGAAACAAACCATTGTCTCATGATCATTCGTTGAAGTCAAATATCAATCAATGGCAACCACTACCAACAAGCTTCTTTGGTTACGCTATCTTCTTGTTGATTTAACAGTCCACCTTTCTACTCCCATGATGCTTCATTGTGATAATTAAGCTGCCTTCCACATTGCTTCTAATCTTGTTTTTCATGAGCATATCAAGCATATCGAAATTGATTGTCATTTTGTTCGTAAGCAGCTACAAAATTACGCCATCAATACTCGTTTTGTTCCTAGTCATCTTCAACTAGCTGATCTATTTACAAAGGCACTACGATGAGACACCTTCCAGTTTCTCACCGGCAAGTTGGGCATTCGAGATCTTCATGCTCCAACTTGAGGAGGAGTGTTAGAGATATGAAAATCTAACTATTATGAGAATACCATGTATATATGTATCTAGTATTAATTATTTCCGTATTGTTTATTGACTTCTTGACTTGATCCTAAAGTTAAGGAGACCTATTGTAATCTATATATATTGTGACAGTAGTGGAATGCAAAGTAATGACTTTCTCATCAATTTTACAATTTGTCTGCTGTTGAGGGCGCTAGATGATTTTAGTTTAACTCATCGACGGTGATCTAGTGTCTTGTAGTAGAATATGGTTGACTTTGTCAGTTCCATTTGTTTAGTCTTCTTTGGGATAGACCAACAAAGATGAGCGTGTAAGGACGAAACAGAAGTTGCCAAAAATATTAATTCAGAAGTATTATTATAGTAAGTCATTGTTTTTTATTTTAATAAAATAATTTATTTAATAAAAAACTATTAAAGATATAAAAAAATATTAATTTATTTTTGTAATATTATAAGATGATATGGATAAAAAAAGACAATCAAAATCAATTTAAAAAAAAAAAATTATTGGTATCATACAAGATATTAAGACTTAACTTGACATTTTTATTTAAAAATTAATAAAATTAATATATTTAAATAAAAAAATAAAAATTAACATTTATAAATAAAAAAAATTAAAATTTGACATTTTTATTTAAAAATTAAAAAAGTTAATATTTTTAAACAAAAAAAATTAACATCCTTATTCACAGCTTTTCTCAATTTTGCCCCCACTAACTTTATTTTTTGACTCCACTTACTTTTTTTCTAACCTTAAGTGGTTAGAATATTAGGAATTATTAAAGAATTTTTCCCGAGTACTCGACCACCAACATCTGGGAATTTCTTATAACCAAGCAGAGGACTTACTTCTCCATCTTTATCTACTTGAATTGGATACTTGAGAAGGTGGCCTTGCAACAATGTAAATTCATCAGCTGTATAGTTTTTCCAGTTGTCTTCAGCAATCTTGTTTACTGCCTTTACGCATTGCCGACTTTCTGGGATATCGAAGAGACTATCCTCCGTCCCAAGATGTTCTGTCCACAGTGATTTTCTATAATCAAATACCTACAGGATACAGGGAAGGACTTAGCCTGTGTAGGAAACAGGGTAACATTGTCTACACGGTAAAGCTCAGTTAGAAGAAATGTTTGTTGAATGTTTCATTTCAAAAGCCAAAAACATAGTTATAGCAAAAGGAGAGGAAAATAGATCAAAAAGCATTTCTGAGAGTGGAAGGCAAGTTCACAGAAAAGAAGGGCTGGCAGATTATAGTTTAAACCTCCAATCTTGTCTCTCAATTATTGTATGGATCTCTAAATTGGTCTTAAAATTAAAAAAAATTTAATTTAGCTTTTAACATTATCAAATTTAGTTTCAAGTCAATCCCTCTATTAAAAAATAACTAACGTGTCTGTTACTTGATAACAAAAACCGTTATTTGATGATTATGTTTCATGTTCTTAATGGGACTTGTCAACTATTTTTTAACAAAATGATTAGCTTGGAGTCAAATTTAAAAACTTTAAAAATCAAATCAAGTAACTTTTTTAATTTAAAGATCAACTCAGGGATCAGTACAATAATTGAGAGATTAAGTTAACAATTTAACCTAAATTATATGAACAACTGATGACCTTTTCTTCCTCAAACCTAACCTCTCTATCCATCTTAAAATTCAAACTTCAAACTTTCGATATAGACTCAAATTTTAAACAATTAGAACATCCCCTAACAGATGACTCATAAAATCAACAGTTCTAAAGAATGTGAAACAAGAAAATACAGACCTCACCACGTGGATGCTCTCCCTTCCTAGCCCATGTGTAATTGGGCTGATAGGCACCCATTGCTATCTCTGTGTCTCTTGAACCATCCATGGACCTTTGGTTAATATTAGCAGATCCAAGTATCATATATTCATCATCTACTATCATTCCCTTGGCATGCACATAAATCATGAATCTTTGAAATTCTTGTGACTTCGAGACCTGAGAAAAATTCTAATTAAAACCAACTCCTCATTGAATTCCTTCCAAATTTAAGCTATAAATATCTATGCATAAGGGCAAAGTAACAGAAATTAACAAGGCTAATGATATGCAAATAATTTTTTTGTGTAACTTTTACATGTTATCAAATAAATAGATGTATATATTATCATAGGTCTCAATAAAATAAAAAACTAATTATTAAATGATATATAAAGTTGTAAAAAAATTGTATAAAAAAATTATATTTCAATCATTTTCCAATTAACTATCAGCCACATAATCTAATCTGCAGAATTGCAGTTTCTATGAAAAGCTTAAAAGAGGGTACGATAAAGAAAGATTCTCTCAAACAGTTACCTTATTTTTCCACGCTCTGGTTGAAGTGGAAGGGCCACCTCCACTAGTGGGAACATCAGGGCTAAGTCTAGTGTATGAATATGGATCCGGCCAAATCCCATTTCCCTTTCTCCTCCCTCCCTGGACAATAGGAAAATGATTGAGAAATAAATTTTTTATAAAATTTTTTTATACAACCTTATATATTATTTTAATGATTAGTTCTTTTCACATTATTAGGATTTATAACATCGTATGTATTCATATATTTAATAACATGTAAAAGTTGCAAATAAAACTTGTAAAAAAAAAAGTTGCATGCATGTCATTACCTAGAAAAATATTATACTAATAGTTGCCATCTTTCAAAAAAAAAAGCCTTGTTACCTCATCAACATTGCCGGCCATATTTTCCCCAGAGATGCATTCCCTTTTACCAAGACAATAGAAATTGAGGTAATCCAGAGGATGTGCATCCTCACGCCTCATCTTTTGTAGTTCTTTTGCAATAATACCATACATCATTTTCATTGTCCGGGACTGGAAGGCAGAAAAGTAGGAATAAAAATGTAAGGCCTTCATGCTTCTTTTCTCTAAGAATAAAACAATATTCCGACCTTAATAACACAGATAATAAGCTATCAAATCTTATTTACGCTGCACCAACTAATGATTAGTAGTTGGGCAAAATGGTTTCCAAGATGTGACAGGCAGGTACTAGAGTAACGACTAACAATAATTTATGAGCCTGGTTGCCACTTGTCAGCATTGTTTTATAGTTTATCACAAACAAGGGACACCAAAAGAGGATTTTGATTGAAAAGAATTCAGGAAGGAAACAGACAATAACCTGCCAAAAGAGAATATTCTGCACTGTTTTAGACTTTGGTTTACCCTCAGGCCACATTGGAATGATGACATACACTGCAAAACTCTCATTTGCTCTAATTTTACTAGTAATCTTCAACGCCAACTCCATTGGGATTAGATTGTTAGCACCTGCTAAACCCATTAAAACAGATAAACATGAAACGTTCATTCTGAAACGTTCAGATTCTTCAGAATGAACAAGCAAAAGAAGAAAATATTACTGACCTGCATCTTTATTTGATGACCATGCATACGAGGATCCTATAAAATACTGATTTTCAATATATATGAAACGTTGAGCAGATCTGATTGACTGAATGTAAGCTGTTTGAATGCTTACATCTATTACCACACCTTTTGAATAGACAAGATTCTGCAAAGAACAGTTCCATTAAGATTTAAAAACTGCAACGTAACAAATGCTGATAGGTTTTTAAAATCACATCAAAGGAAGTAGTTTCATGAGAAACCTCGGCATAAGCACGACCAGGATCTACTGGAAATCCTTTAACTGCTCCTGAGTCAGTCGACCGGAGAATCTGTGAAAGAAAAACAGAAATGGAACCAACAGTTACAAACTGTTTTCATTACAAAAAAAAAAAAAAGAACAAAATCGAACACAATATAACGTGTGGCTTATAATCACTAAACCAAAAACTTGCATTATACAACCTGAACATGCCAGTTTTCAGAATCATCACCAAAAACCCGTGATGTGGAATAATCTTTTGGAACCATTGTCGTACCATCATGCAAGACAGCTGTATAAGGACTTAGGTCCTGTGAGATAGTTTTCATGACTATCAAAGGATCAATATGTTCTTTCTTTTTGACTGATTGCCACCAATACTGCTTAAAGTTTATATAAACATCAAACGCAGCTGGCCCATCAATCCTGCAGTGCATGTCATGCCATGGTTGTCTTGGAGCCTTGGTTTTAGACTGATAGGGAAAACCCAAAATGCCAACATTAGAACTACTAGTACTCACAAAGAAATAGAAAATTGTACCAAAGGTAAGCCAGCATAAAATTACAACTAAAATCACGAAATCTTAATCGCAGTTTGTGTGCTGATATATAAACTACATCCCATATATATTATTAACCCCTTTTTCCTACACAACCAGCTGTTCCAAGGCAACTCAGTTTTCCCACTTTTCTACCCAAATGTCAACTGTGATCATGAATCATAGCTTTGAATCACAGTAAATACAATTATAGATGGCTGAAATCCTTGTCTGACAGGGTACGAATAGAAGTCAATAGCATTAAGATTTCTTTGGGTATCCTTGCATTGCTATATAGTATTTTTGTTTCAATAGTGGAATTTCTCAATGATTAGCATGCTCAACAAACTGTGATCCCTCCTTTTAAATGGCTTCCAAACATGTTGAGCATCCATTTAAGGTAAGAATGAAGAATAATAGACACAGTTTATGTTAAATGGTCAATTAAAAAAAACAGTTGACCTAAAGATCATAGAGCCACAAGAAATACATATGGTAGCTGTTATGACAAGGGTAATGATATAGTACAACCTTTTTGTAAAGCTTTTATTTATAACTTTTACATATTATTATTCAATGGTTCAATGAATGAATTCATATAATATCATAAGTCTTAGTAGAGTAAAAAAAGCTCATTATTAAACATATAAGGTTGTATAAAAGAGTTCTACTTCAATAATTTTCACTTATTCACAATATATTTTGTAAGAACTTAAACTCTCAAATCTTTGATACCAATTGTTTGGATTTAACTCACCAAAAAATTGAGATCCACTGATCAATAAGATACCCTTCTCCTATGAGTCTCTATCAGTGTTTCTTCCAAAAACTCACTCAAGATTCTCTTTCAAAATTTTAATTAATTTTTCAATCGACACCCTTGCTCAACTGCTCTAGGCGAGGGAATAACACATTTGTTCTAATGACAAAAATTTATTCTAGTGCTGACTAGGATTGTTACCATTAAGGAAAGTAAATTACCTGAATTCCTAGATTCACTAGATCGGTATTGTAACTGTAAAAAGAAACATAACAAATTTCTCTCCATTTTTATTAAGATCTTCCAGTTTTTGAAATTCAGACACTGCATTAGAAATTGCAGAAATGTCACCATAAAACAAACCATGACAATAGAAGATGAGTTAAGCAGTAGAATAGAACAAAATTAGAGCTCTCTCCTTCATCACTTTATATACAGGAATATATTCTAGAAGATGCTTTACTAATACTAGAACTTAGGCAAGTCATTTTCGACAGCAGAGTGCATAAAATAAATTCAAAGATAGGAATTACTCACAGGATATGTAGGATTATGAAAATCACTCTTAAAAATGGTGTCAAGGCCACAAAATAACAAATGCTGAGGTGTATCATAACGACCATCACAGAGATCAAGACCGCCAATGAATGCAGTTATCTTTCGATCACCACCAGCTGCCGGTGTGTCGACTAGAACACATTTTTGATGATTTGAGAATATGAATCCATTGCGCTGTCCAAAACCACCAGAGAAGTAACTTCTAAACGTTTCTTAGTTTTTATGAAGAATTTTCAAAATGTGAAACAAGTTATAAGGCGAACACAACGACTGCAATTGCCAAATTAAACCCATCAATGAAATCTACTACATGAATGTGCAGTGAAAAAGTTCATGCAAGACATCATTTTGCACTGCATTTAATAAATACCAAAACATTGATTGGGTGGTTTCTATTCCTTTAACATTGCCGTGAACATAGAATCCAAAAGTAAAGAATTTAATGCATGTCAAATAAGTTCATTTGAAAGACATAAACAATCATTGGCCAATAAATAAATAAAGAAATCAATAAATAAAAAGAAAGACAATGACAATCAATTAAATAGAACTTACAGCTCGTTTAAAACCATTAAGGGACTTGCTTGCATGACGATGAACCAGTTTACAAATAACAGATGAATCCCGGAAAAATTTCCTCGTTTCTTGACCATGCGTCTTCATCATTCCTTTCTGCGTCCATTGAAAATTACAAGTTCTACTCAACACAATTTTCTGATTTCCTCATTCATTATTAAAATTATCTTTAAAAAATAAAATACCCAACAAAAAGAATTAAAAAAAAAAGAAGAAAGAGAGAGAAGGCTCCTAGTAGTGTAATTACTGTTGAATTAAAACAGTAGATAATCCTAAACTGATTAAAGGAGCAAAAGGAACAAATAATTATGTTAGAATTCGTCTCACCACTTTGATCCCCCATTTATGAAATGAAGTTTTATCACGCCATAGCAACACCACAACTCGAACCCCTTTCTTTGATTTGGACTTGAGCAATTCACCAAGCGTCGAAACCCCATCTGGAGGCAATGGCCAGTTCGGCTCTCTGACAAGCTTTACATCACAAGACATTGACCAACCCAAAATGTATATCATAGATTGAGCCTCTGATATAGCACGGTAAATGTCCTCCCAACACTTGTGATGCTCAAAAAATCTTCCGTGTTCCAGTTCAATTTCAGACAACAAATCTTCAGGCACATGAGCGTCTTGGTACAGCTTCAACGCATTCCCTTCCCTCCGTGGAAAATACGTCTTCCTTACTCCAGCCTGTTCTGGATTGCTGGCGATGCATTGACGATAAAGTCGATTTCGATGGCATGGCGTGAATTGCATCGCAATATTAAGAGCCGGATTCTTGTTTGGATCTGCGTTGCCATCTTTCAACGGATACCATCCGCTGATTAGCTCCCCGGTGTTGATTCTCCCATCCGGAGTCTTCATGGTATCCTTGATCCTTTTACCCACTTCAATTTTGAATTCGAGGTAGACTACAGCATGTGCGAGAAGAATATTGAACTGCTCGTCCCACCGAGGGTTATCTTTGTCAGAAATGTAACGCGTGCTAGCCAAGGTAATTTTAGCTGCAGAAACGATAACCCTCCAGTCTCCACCGAGAAAGCTATTTAGCTTCGATAACTCGCCTAAAGCTCTCGCTTCAATGATTGTCAACTTTAGGTCACCATGAAGCAAGGTAGACATCTCTGCTTTCCTTTCTCTTAACCGAGAAGACTGCTTCTAATACTCCCACGGGTACCACGGGTACGAATTATGGTGGAGAGACGAATACTTTACGCTGGTTCTAATACTACCAGCGTTTCACGAAGATTTTAGCTTTATACTTTTATACTTTTATACTTTTAACTCCTCATTCTATTATATTGATAAATTTTAGTTGATCATTTTATATTATAATAATTTTAATTTTTTATTT